CTGTAACTGGATCTTATCAGACCATCTTGGCCACATGCCCTCCTATAAAGCCGTCATGGTGGCCAGTGGATGGAGCAACCTAACTGTCCAGGCCTAGATGGGCTGTCCTCCTCTGGAGCCCTGTGGGGGCAGTGGGTAGGGGCAGTCCCATCAAACCACAGAAGGGAAGGAGGAAGGATCCATCAAGGAAAACTGGGGGAGTGTGATGGCTAATTTTGCATATCCATGTGTCTGGGCCACTGGATGCCCAGATAGCTAGCCTGCAATGGTGTTTCTGGAAGAGATTAGCATGTGAATTTATGGACTGAGTGAAACAGATGGCCCTCACCAATGTGGGCAAGCATCATCCATTCCATGAAGGGGCTGAGTAGAAGAAAAAGAAGGTGAGTTCTCTCCCAGCCTGACTGCTTGAGCTGGGACATGGCTCTTCCCCTGCCCTCGGCACTCCTGGCTCTTAGGCCTTCAGACTCAGGTGGGAATCTATACTACAGGCTCTCTGGCTCTTGGGCCTTTGAACTACACCGTGACCTTTTCTGGGTCTCTAGCCTGTAGAGGGCAGCTGTTGGGACTTCTCAGCCCCCATAATTATATGAGCCAATACCTTATAATAAACCCCTTTCTAGATATATATATACATGCTATTGGTCTGTTTGTTTGGATGACCCTAATATTAATACAGGTAGTATCTGCCCCAGGAGGAAGCAGATGCCTGATGGGTAGAGCAGGCAGCCTTCAAGGCCTCTAGTGACCCCTGCTTCCTGCTAGTCACACCACTGTGTTTCCCCTAACACTGAACCAAGGTTGACTGTGACTACAGAATACAGCAGAAGCAATCATGTGCCATCTCCAAGGCTAGATTATTAAAAACATGGTGGTGTCCATCTTGGGTGTGCTCTCTCCTGCTCCTGGGTTACTCACCCTGGGAAGTCAGCTACTATGTTGGGAGCAGCCCCAAGGAGAGGCCCACATGGCAAGGAGCTGATGCCTCCTGCCAACAATCACAGGATGAAGCTTGCAAGTGGACACTCCATCCCTAGTCAAGCTTTCACATGTCGGCAACTCTGGCCAATGAAAGACTGCAACCTCATGAGAGACCCTGATGCCCCGGCTAAGCCATATCCAGAGTCCTGACTCACAGAAATTGTGGGGGATCACAAATATGTTGTTCTTAGTGACCAAGTTTGAGGATAATTTGTTACACAGCAAGAGCTACCACTGTTATAATACAAAGACAAGAAATAGAAAATGACCCCCCATAATAATTCAAGGACCCATTTACTTGCTTCCTTCCAAGCCACTTGTCATATAAATGTGTGTCTTTTTTCTTTTAACATCCGTCTCACGGCTTGAGTTTTCTAAATTTAAAAGGAAACAGGGCAATCAATTATTTAGAGGAATGTGACTTACAAACCCTTAATTGCAAATGATTATTATGCCTCTGCCACAGGAACTTGCAGCTGCCCAAGGCCAAAAAGCACCAGGCTAGTTACATGACCTTGCCAGGGATTCTGAGCAAAAGGAATGTGTAATCAAATGCTGGATTTGCTCAGTGATGCTCAGTTTTACAACCATGAACTCAGAGCCAGTGAAACACACATATACACAGCACACACTTAGCATTCGAGTATTTCACTTTTCTGAGTAGGAGATAGACTAGCTCCTAATTCTTTCTGCATTACTGATGTTAAAATAGAACTTTTGATGAAGGTAACATAATATTATATTCAAGAAAAATGATAATGATAGTTAACATTTACTGAGTATTTATCAAGCACACTGAGCCAATACATGGTCTCTCGTTTTATTTATTCAACAAAACTCTATGAGGTAAAGAGTTTTCTTATTACCATTTGAAAACTAAGGAAACAGGACGAGTGCAGTGGCTCACACCTATAATCCCAGCACTTTGGGAGGCCAAGGCGAGTAGATCACTTGAGCCCAGGAGTTTGGGACCAGCCTGGGCAATATGGTAAAACCCCATCTCTACAAAAAGATACAAAAATTAGCTGGATGTGGTGGTACACACCTGTAGTCCCAGCTACTCAGAGGCTGAGGTGGGTGAAGTGCTTGAATCCAGGAGGTGGAGGCTGCAGTGAGCTGAGATCGCATCACTGCATTCCAGCCTGGGCAACAGAGTAAGACACTGTCTCAAAAACAAAAACAAACAGAAAAAACACTAAGGGAATAGAAACAGAGAAGTTAAGTAACTCACCCAAGATCACACACCTAGTAAGCACACAGGCCATGCTCTGACCCCATCAGTACATGGCATGCATTTATGCCATAAAGCCCTAGCCATACCCACCTGCACTGGAAACCTGCACCTGAACACCCACGCACCTGAGAAGAGGGTAGCGCCGATGCACTGAGCCTCTTCTTCCAGCCTGTGACACTCCACTGCCCCGCCCTGTGCCCCAGAAGCTAAAGCACCCTCTGCCCCAGCACCAACTGCCTGAGCAGGCCACTGTCGGCCAACACTGACAACTGCTTTTACTGTGGCCAGAAGCATGAAGAAAGTTCTAACCATGGACAGAGGTTAACTCTATCTGGAACATGTCAGCAAGCGAATTTTTCAAAACGTACATACTCAACTGATCAGTTTCCCTACTTCCAGTTTCTCCTTTTGAAATATTCATCTGTTTTACAGATATCTGTTCCTTCTGCCTGCACACTGCCAACTTTCACACACCTTAATCTCTTAACTACCCACTGCTTAAATAGGGATTGTAAAACTGCCTGTTTAGGAAACTGGTTTTATCTGCTCCATTTGTGGGATAAAATTTTCCCAACAATCGTCATGCACTAAAACACGCTTCCTGTGGAATACACTTAGGACGCCTTGCTCGTGTCCACTACCATATGCACCGTCACATCTTTTCTTCCTCATTCAGCCCCTTTGGCAGGAAGAGATCATCCTCTCTATCCCAGAGATAGGGAAGCGCACATGCTCAGAAGTGGAGCAATTTGCCCAGAAACACATAATTTGCAAATAATGATGCAGAGAGTCAAGACTAGGCTGACTGCTAATACAACCCATTAAGATGACAGGGAGGCCTGGCGCGGTGGCTCACGCCTGTAATCCCAGCACTTTGGGAGGCCAAGGCTGGCAAATCATGAGGTCAGGAGATCGAGACCATCATGGCCACCATGGCAAAATCCCGTGTCTACTAAAATACAAAAAGTTAGCCAAGTATGGTGGCACGTGCCTGTAATCCCAGCTACTCGGAAGGCTGAGACAGAGGAATTGCTTAAACCTGGGAGGCGGAGGTTGCAGCGAACCGAGATCACACCACTGCACTGGCAACAGAGCAAGACTCCATCTCAAAGAAAAAAAAAAAATGACACAGCATATAATTCTTTCTCTCTTTGCTGATTCAGAGCCCTCAGCACCAGGGTCTCTAAAGATTTCAGTCTTTATTTTGAACATCAAATGCAATTATGCTGCAGAACTCTAACATGCTGAGGCAAAAGAGTGGTCCAGGTGAGAAAATGCCAAACTAGGCACATATTACACTATTTATAACATTAACTGTCTCTGATGCTCTTGAGCTGTCATTTTAAAATATGATGAAAAGGGAAAAAGCTCAAAGAATGGAAATTAATCATAGGATCATAGTGCCAACATTCAATAATGCTCATTAGAGCCTTTCACAGCATCTAACGCCACAGAGGGCTAAAGGCTGCTGCTATAAATTGACTTAACTCTGGGCTTCCTCGCACATCCACAAGACATGTTTATCTCATGGTCTTATTTTAAAGTAGATTTAAAGAACAATCAATAAACTGCTTATCTTACCCAAAATGAGAACAAACTAGAAACAACCTGAATGTTAAATTGACCATATTAAATTGCTCATTCCAGTCCGGAATGGGCAATTTAATATGCCGTGTTAACTCAATCAAGTAACACATCCAGACACATAAAAATGGCTAACATGAGGCCTATATGGAAATAATAAAAGCTGCTTTTGCACTCCTAAGCAGTGCTCAAAGGTAGACTAAACAAGGACAGGCACAGATTATATGTATAGTAAAAAAAAAAAAATGTTAGTATATGAACAAATTCAGTAGGAAAGCATATGAATTGGGACTCTGGGCGGTTTACTTTGCAGTTTTCTTCAATAATACATAGACAAAGTGACAGAAAAGGAAATAAAATGGCTTTTAGATATAAGGAGGCTCAACTATACTGTTAATTGGAGAAACAGGAATGAAAAATTTCCTGCCAGCACCATTTCCACCCCCGACGTTATCAGAGACCAGAAGTTGGCTCCCATGGCTGTGAGCACAGCTGTGTGGCAGCGAGCCTCTCCCATGCCACTGTAGAACACACGGCTCACGCCCGTGGCAGGCATACAAATGCACTGCACTTTGACCCAGCAATCCTACTTCCAGGAACATTTCCAAAACATGTACTCATACAGAAAGAAAATGACAAACGCAAAGGTTGTTCACTATAGCATTAGTAGTAGCAAAAGACTCTAAACCATCTCAATGGCCGGCTGTCAGCACACTGGTTAAACAAATTCTGATGCAGTCAGACAAGGAAATGTCAGGAGCTCTTAAAAAGCGGAGGGCAGCCCCACACAGACCAACAAAAACAATCTCTGAGATGTCAAGTGAATGCTGCATAGGACACAGTACCATTCACGTTAAGATGAAAGGGAGGAAGCGGAGAAGGAAAAGAAAAGGAAAAAAAGTTTATGCTCATGTATCTGCTTGTGTGATCAGGGAGTATCTCTGGACTCGGTAACGATGACCTCCACTAGGGAGCAACCTGGGTGGCTGGGATAACAGAAGGGGGACTTGCACAGGTGAACCTTTTGTATTTTGAACCAGGTGCATACATATTATTTACTCAATGAAATAAGTTAAATTCAAATACATACATCTTTTGGTTTATTTATTTATTTTTTAAACTAAAAAGTTCAGGTGAACGTGTGCTCAGGTTTTAAGGAAGCCCCCACGTGCTTACCTCTGTGCCCCTCACCCTCTCCTACCTGGCCAGCGCCTGGACCTTCATGCCCTGCCGCTCCTCCTGCTCAGCCACCTTCCTTTTCAACGTGTCCACCTCTTGCCGGAGCGCAGCTGAATGCTCCATCTCACCGTCAAGCAGGTTCCGCAGCGATCTGGGAAAAGAGGGCCCCAACAGCTCAGACACTGTCAACCCAGACTCCACTGAGCCCAGGACACAGTTCCTAACCTAAGTCAAGTCCTAAGCCATGCACTTTCCACAAGGCTCTGTATAAACCACAATTCAAGTCTATCTCATGTGAACTGGAGAACCAAACTCTAATTGAAAGCCTTAGAGTAAGAAATAGGGGCAGTCATCTGTGACCTGGGCTGTAATCCCTGATCGCCTGTGAGGAGGCCAGCCTTCTGACAGCTTCAATCAAGGGAAAACAATGAGGTGAGCCAATTCCAGCCAAGTCCCTTTACAGACACCCCACTCAAAAGCGTAGCACATTACACTGAGACGATTTTGTCACAGCTACACCAGGCAAGAGATTTAACAAAGGAAAGGATGTCAGGAGAGGCCAAAAGAATAATCTGAGGCATAAAAATAGAATATCCACTCAGATTATCTGACAGATGTCTAGTCTCATCTCCACCTGTGCCTATAAAACACACTGACAGCCTGTTTCACTGCCAACTTCAGGTAAAATAAGTACACATACAAAACGTCTTACGCCGCTATAGCATCTGAGATAGCATAGACAGTATTTTACATTTCCAAGTTTGTTAACTCTCCAACAGGGGGCTTGCAGCCAGCACAGGATTCACTTGTGTATCTGTCATCTCTAGTCTTAAATAAGAGAGAGGACACCAGGTCTTCTAGAAACCATCACCAGTGACCACCTGGAAGAGAGCTAAGCATGGTGCTGCTAACCATTTACTTCACTCTCCATGGCTGTTCCTGGAAAACATTTACCAACCATGATACCTCTACATACATCCAGAGGACACTTGCCATGTGACATCAGAATATAAGCAAAAACATGGCCGGGCACAGTGGCTCATGCCTATAATCCCAGCACTTTGGGAGGCCAAAGTGGGTGGATCACTTGAGGCCAGGGGTTTGAGACCAGCCTGGCCAACATGGTGAACCCCGTCTCTACTAAAAATACAAAAATTAGTCAGGCATGGTAGTACACACCTGTAATCCCAGCTACTCAGGAGGCTGAGACAGGACAATCGCCTGAACCTGGGAGGCGGAGGTTGCAGTGAGCCGAGATCACGCCACTGCACTGCAGCCTGGGTGACACAGTGAGACTCCATCTCAAATTAAAAAAAGAATGTAAGCAAAAACACCTGACCCCCACCATACTCTGATCATCCACTGATATCTCCAAGACTTGTGTTCTGTGAGAGCTCTGAGGAAATTCCCCTCCTGGGGCCTGGGCCTCCCTGACAAAAACATGGTAAATTTTTTCTTTCCTTCTGGGAAGTACAAAAAAGAAACAAAGAGCAACTCTTGTTTTTCACAAGGTAAGACAAAATCTATGGCTTCTTCTAAGATAATAGCTCCAGCTGGAGCAAGGAAAAAGAATCCTGCAACGGCACAAGCCCTTTGTTGAAACTTTATTCTAGTTGGAAAATGGTGCCGTCTAAAGATTCCTTTTAAAAACATCCTCTTTTGTTTTAGAAATCAGGCTTGTTTGCTTTTATATGTTTCCAGAAAGGACAACAGAGAAGCTTGTCAGGCAGGACCCAAAATGAGGTTTAAAGGAGAAATATGACTGTGTGTAAAAGAGGGTGTCAGTAAAAGAGGGTGACGTGAACACACACAGCCCCTCCCTTGTCCCAAGGAGGCAGCTGAATAGTGTTTCTAGAAGCTCAGGGGGTAACTACAGGTAAGCCCTCTCTGACCATCCCGCAGTCAAGGTAAGTCAGATGGGAGCCAGCAGCCAATGTCAGGTGGTATCTAGCATGGGTTTCCAAAGGGAAGAAAGGTTAATAAAACCCTTCGCCCTCTCAAGAGTCTGCAATTGGGTTTTTGGCCAAGTCAAAAGAATCTGAATTTCATCTTTCCCCAAGTATCCCTGATTTGGGCAAACTTTAAGATAAGTATTCAGATGCCTGGAACATGATAGACAGGTCTTCAATTAATGATGACTAAAGACTGCCTAGAGGCCGGGCACAGTGGCTCTTGCCTGTAATCTCAACATTTTGGGAGGCAAGGAGGGCAGATTACTTAAGCTCAGAAGTTCAAGACCAGCCTGGAAAACATGACAAAACCCCATCTCTACTAAAAATACAAAAATTAGCCAGGCATGGTGGCATGCGCCTATAGTTCCAGCTACTCAGAAGGCTGAGGGTGGAAGATCACTTGAACCCGGGAGGTGGAGTTTGCAGTGAGCAGAGACTGCACCACTGCATTCCAGCATGGGAGACAGATGCAGAACTGTCTCAAACAATCAAAAAAGACTGCCTAGGTTAAGGAGGTGATAACTAAAGGGAACAAGGCTTCTTTCTGGGGCGATGAAATGTTCTAAAATTGACTGTGTTGATGTTAACTCATATCTGTGAATATAGTAAAAACTACTGAATTATATACCTTAAATGAGTGAATTATAGTGTATGTGAATTAAATCTCAATAAAACCTGTTTTTTAAAAAAAAGAGTTAACAATTGCTCTACCAGATTCTTAGCTTGTTCTAAGAAAGTGCCATTACCATAAGGTTCTCACTCCTTTCTTACAAACCAATCACAAGAGATACCAAAGTGGCACATCCCTGACATTAAGAAATAGCGAGTTATGATTTTTACCAAGAAAGCAAAATATGCCTCATCTGTTACATTCTCTGCCCCAGAGGCTGAGTGTCAAAGAAAGAGGCTATTCCTCAAGCCTGAAAATCACAGTACCTGTTCTCCTCCTCCAGCTCATCCTTCCTGTTCATCATGGCCACAATGGCCTGGCGCAGTTCACCTAAGGGAAGAAAACAAAGTCAAAAATAATTGGCAGGCCTTGCCTGTTACAGGATGCCCTCACCTCTCTGAATTATATGCTATTAAGGATGACTTGTCTAGATAAGTTCCCTTTTCCCTTTCAAAAATAACCCCTATACCACTCTAAGAGACTCAGCTGATCAGGGTCCTGGATTTTAGAGCTCAGTCTCTGAAGTCAGGTCCCAGGTTCAAATCCTGCCACTGCAACAGGTTAATCTCAGGCAAGTTAGCGACCCCCTCTGAGCACCAACTCCTCTGTCTATAAAATGAGACCTTAACAGTCACTATCCCCTAGAAGTGTTGTAAGAATTCAATAAGGCAATATGTACGTGAGATGCTTAGAAGGGTACCCAGCATAGAATAGAATTTAGCAAGTATTACTAATCAGTATCATTACAGTCTTTGCAGAGCTGCAACAGCAGAAGACAGGAAGATAGAGATGAGGTAGCATATGGCTCACAAGCACAAGTGGGTTAAACTGGGCACATTTTCAAAACTCAGGGGATTTACTGGGCTCCTGTCTACCTCAACCTTGGGGAAAAAATGATTATTTAAGTGGTCTATGCCTTAGAGTAGCACACTAGATAGTAGAATTTTCTAAAATGTCAAACAAGATCACCATAGGCAATATGGGAAATCAGCCCCAGATAGCGATGTGGCATTTGGAAATCAAGTATCTGGGTTCTGGGCCTTGCAGGCATGGGATAAGGGGGTCCCCAATGCTGCTACTCAGACTTTGTAGCTGAAAATGTTATATTCCAGGGGGAAATTCTAGGAGGAAAAACTGTTTCCCAGGAGGTTTCAGAGGCAGCAAAGCTTGCCTGACAAGTACAACCTCGAGTAGTCTTAAAAGATGTAGGCTGGGCACAATGGCTCATGCTTGCAGTCCCAACACTTCGGGAGGCCAAGGTAGGAGGATCACTTGAGCCCAGGAGTTCAGGACCAGCCTGGTCAACATAGTGAGACCCTATCTCAAAAAAAAAAAAAAAGAGGGAGAGAGAGAGAGATCTCAGCCACAAGCCCGACTTCCAGGAGCCCAAATCACTGCCCAGAAGCCACCTGTGAGAAACAAGAAAATGGATGCTGACCTGATCCACACCATCACCCTGGCCTCACCCTTCCACCCTTCCCTGCCTTCCCCCATCCCATACACGGTGCATCTCCGGCCTCCTGGACAAGGCCCCTTTGTTTTTATCAACACCAAAATGACTGATATCACAAGCACAGCCAAAGCAGTACTCTGGTCGTGGGAATCTTTTTAAAAATCCATCACAGAAAGACAAGCTGTCAGACCCTTCCACCTTCCCTGAGTGGCTATGACATAATGTTCAGATTAATGGTGGAGAAGGAAAGGGACCGAGAACTGGTAAAGCCCCCCAAAATGTTCTTTCAATGGCCTTGAACCTGAACACACATTCTCTTTCGCTGCCACACTGGCTGTTCTGTGACTCTTTTGGGGCAGTAAAGCTAGTAGGTAATGTTGGGGTGATTTCCAAAGATTGGCTAAATATTATACTTTGCCAAGCACGAGTGACACACACGAGCAGAGGCGCTCCCAAGCATGTAATTTTCTCTCCTCTCCCCAGCACCGTGCAGCAAATGATTTGTTTAGTCTCTATTATTGTGATTTCCTTCCTCTTTATGACCTACTGCAGCTCACATTTCAAGTGAAAACAGAGCAGCACTTCAGCACTGTGGACTGGGCAGAGCCTGACCATGCCGGGGGGATCCCTTCTCCTACACCTGAAAAGCAAACGGCCATCTCAACATAGGTTCCTTGCTTGGCTTCAGAGGACAGAGCCACAAAACCAGGCAAGAGTACAAGGGAATGTTAACTTCGACCATCAGAAACTGATCTGAGATAAAAAGCAGCGTTGAAAATGCTGTGGGCAGGATGGATTCGTCCACAAATGCGGCTGGGCAAGGAACCATTTGGGAAGCAAGACACCAGACTTAAATAAATCTCTATTCCTGCAATGTACTAAAATAAATTTCTGATATAATAATGTTTACACATGTGAAATGAAGCAATAAAAACTGCATAAGTATGTGAACAAACATGTCTTCCATCTTTCTTACCATGAAGCCAAAGGCCAAATCCGTTAAAGAAATAATAATTTCTGTATCTGCACATCAAGGGTGCATCTAACACACACACACACAAAATTGGTCCATTGTTTGTGGAACTTTAAGCTCCTCAGGGCAGTAAACTGGTAGAGTAGAAAGAATACCCATTCTTTTTTTATTTTGAGATGGAATCCGGCTCTGTCACCCAGAGCACAGCAGCACAATTTTGGCTCACTTTAACCTCCACCTCCCAGGTTCAAGTGATTCTCCTGCCTCGACCTCCCAAGTAGCTGGGATTACAGGCACCTGCCACCCTGCCTGGCTAATTTTTGTATTTTTAGTAGAGAAGGGGTTTCACCATGTTGGCCAGGCTGGTCTCGAACTCCTGACCTCCAGTGATCCACCCGCCTTGGCCTCTCAAAGTGCTGGAATTACAGGTGTGAGCCACCGGCGCCCGGACTTGAACACCAGTTTTCTAATCAGATCTACCTTTGATTGCCACGTCCCTCACACTTGAGTTCAGGGTCCCAGCAAATGATATCATCCTTGCTTCCCAGCTCCTTCAGCTGGAGAAAATGTTGCTGGTATCGCCAGCCTCAGAGGATAGAGCAGGGGCCAGTAAAGCTTTCCCGGAACACAGCCACACCCATCCATTTCCGCAATGACTAAGTCTGCTTTGATGAGCTGTTTTGACAGAGATCTTTGGGCCCACACAGCCTGAAATAACTACTATCCAGCCCTTTCCAGAAAACATTTGCCAGCCCGTCTTAGGAGAATATCACAAGTTCTTCCCTCCACACCCCACTCTCAGCCTTCTTCATTCAGAGCTAAAGGCAGCTCTGACACTGTAGCAATCCGGTGGGACCGCTGGCTGTACCCACACAGGACAAGGCAGGCTGAGACAAACGGAACAGCAGTAGGGCTGCTCCTGCCTCAGACTCCTTTTTTATGGCTGAATATTATTCCACTGCGTATATGTATATGTGTGTATATATATATATATATGTGTATACATGGGGGTATGGATAGGGGAGATGGGTGATGTTGGTCAAAAGGGCACGTCTTATAATAACTTTCTGTTAGAAGATGAGTAAGTTCTGTGGACCTGATGACAGCATAGTGACTCTAGCGAACAATACCACAGTACTGTTTACTTGAAATGTAACAAGAGAGTATACTTCAAGTGTCCTCATCTCTCACACACACGCATACACACACACACCACGTTCCCTCAGGGAGGTGGTGGATATGTTCATCTGATTGTGGTAGTTATTTCGCAATGTAGACATACATCAAATCATCATGTTACATGCCTTGAATACATACAATTTTTGTCAATTAAATAGTTAAAAAAAATTTTTTTTATTAGGCCAGGTGTGGTGGCTTACAACTGAATCCCAGCCCTTTGGATGCCGAGGCATGCAGATCCCTTGAAGTCAGGAGTTCGAGACCAGCCTGGCCAACATGGTGAAACCTCATCTCTACTAAAAATTCAAAAATTAGTCAGATGCGGTGGTGGGCACCTGTAATCCCAGCTACTTGGGAAGCTGAGGCAGGAGAATCACTTGAGCCTAGGAGGCAGAGATTGCAGTGAGCCAAGATTATGCCACTGTACTCCAGCTTGGGTGAGAGAGTGAAACTCTGCCTCAAAAAAAAATTTTTTTTATATTAGTAACAAGGGTGATAGGCAATGAAAAAGTTCTAGCCCGGCCTCAGTGCTGCTGCGTGGATATAAGGCTGCATCTACACCAAGGGCTCCATCACCGCTTCCACCCTGCACACACTCACACCTCCACCCAGGCCCTCTCCTGAGCTCCAGACCGTGTGTAGTAGCTTCTCTGCCACTCCAGCCTCGGCTCATTTCCTCTTCCTTGGTTAGATGCCAACCATTCCTTCTCTCATGCCTCTGTGTCTTGGCACAGGCTGTTTCCCAGTGTCTGGAAAGCCTGGCCCCTCCCACACTCTACGTTGTCCCTCAAGATTCTGACTGGGGAGTGCCTTTTCTGAGCAGCAGCTGCTCACTGGCTAGGGCAGTTGTGGGCCTTACTCTTGCCCCCACTCAAAGACTCAGCTCCCAAAGGCCTCCCATTCCCATCCCCACCCACCCCACCTGCAATAAGTGAGAAGGGTGGTTATTGACTCAAACCAAGTCCATCATATTGAGTCTTCAGAACTTCAGATGTGCCAAAACCTTACAAGAGACATGAAAGAAGGTGACAACAGATGCATCTGGCCCAAGAGTGAACAGTTCCAAGTCGCCCTACCACAGTGAGTATGGAGACACACTGAAATAGTGACTTGCTGAAAGCCAACTGGTCAAAAGACCAGTTTAATAAACCCATCCCAGCCGGGTGCAGCAGCTCACACCTATAATGCAAGCATCTTGGGAGGCCGAGGTGGGTGGATCACTTCATGCCAGGAGATTTCGATCAGCCTGGCCAACATGGTGAAACTCCGTCTCTACTAAAAATACAAAAATTAGCTGGGCATGGTGGTGTGCACCTGTAGCCCCAGCTACTTGGGAAGCTGAGGCAGGAGAATCACTTGAACCTGGGAGGCGGAAGTTGCAGTGAGCCAAGATCGTGCCACTGCACTCCAGCCTGGCGACAGAGCAAGACTCCGTCTCAAAAAAATAAAAATGATAATAATAAAATAAATAAATAAACCCATCCTTAAATAAAACCCTAAACTGGGCCCAGGACCATTGGCTGGAGGCTCCTCTGTTGCCAGGTACAAAGGCCTGGACAGGGACAAATGCAGATGCAGCCACAAGGCAGAGGGCCACCAAACAGGGGAGCTGACAAAGCTCCTCAGGGTAAGCCCACTCAGCCACCGAGAAGGTACCGAGTCTGGCCAAGTGGCAGGTGTCAAAAATGTCACATGTGCTACCATGGAGCCCTGCAGCCTGAGGTG